GTTTTTTTGTTTTTTTTTGTTTGTGGGGGGGGGGGGGGGGGTATGCATGAGAGGTGTTGTGTGTTCATATGTAGTGGTTGCAGTCTGGCAAGTTTTAAATCACTCTCACAGACTAAACTGCCCAGTTTTCCACACGCAGGTAAGAACCTCTTGCTTTATAATGCACACACACACTATAGCAGAGAAATGCACTGACATTTACAGTTTGTAAATGTCCTCCACACAGATATAGTGAAACATGTCTTAAACCAAGCTTGATCTGGGAGTTGAACGCATCTGTGTGTTGAAGCTTTTGTCTGAGTGAGTTTGGATTACGTAGCAGGGGTTCTTCCTCTAACTGTGATCAATGACAATTTAACAAAACAAGCAATAAAGATGATTTCACTATTCTGGGAAGTGAGGAGGACATCCTGCCATTATGTTAGAAACTTAACCGATACGTGTGTGATGTTGTGCTTTTTGATCCTGGAATGTTTGAGGAGGACATGGCTTTTATGAGTGCGCTAAGACAAAAATGAAAATATCTTCACTAATATAGTCAGAAACTGACATTTGAAGTGCACTAGTACTATTTGAAAGGCTCATAAATCAGCCAAATTATTACATCTAATACTATCAACAGATTTGGGCGAGGGTTAGGTTTAGGGACAAAGTCAATATAAAAATCTTACTTGTGTACCTTTGCACACACGTTTTCATCTGTCTGTCCAAATATACATGAGACAATTGATTATTTATCATCACCGCTGGATTTTGAAGCATGCAAACAATGCCAAGGTCAGAGGCATTCATCGTGATATCACAAAAATTGGACTGGTATGATTTCAGTCGCGCTAAAGCGTTTCTATGTCATCTAATAAGACAAATTATTGTTTTAGTTTGACTGAAATCAAACTCTTACAAAGCATGCAAGAACATTATTCAAGGATCTGTAAACAGAACAGATCCTTTCAGATTGCTGGCATTAAAAGTCAGACACCAATGAGGGAAATGTTGGAATATACAGCTCCATATCACTGTGATATCATATAATTAGCTCTATAAAGCATGTGCATGAGAAAACCTAAGTATTCCACAAACACAAGATCTTACAGTTTTCTCATCACTCTTGTGTCTGGGTTGCTGTGTTTTATGACCTGTTCTTCCTCTTTGCCATTGTCCTGAATGTCTTCCAGCTCATTTATTTTTAGCTATTTATGTCTTCACCACTTAAGTGCTAAAGGACTAATGCATCCCAACACAATGCAATTACTATGTCAAGTGCAATTCCAAACAGTGCATGAAGACAATGAGTTGTCTGAGTTTCTGTTCTAGATGGCATGCTAGATAACACACACATACTGAATTTTTTTTTTGGAAGTGCTACATTTTTCTGCAGTATATGCATGCATCATCTTTGGGGAGTACAGGAGCCTGATTGTGCCAATCTCAACCTGTTCTGAGATTATATAAAATATTTAATAATGTTGAACAACTGGCACTAATAAAATGAGCATGTCAAAAATATAATGTATCTATGGTATAAATAATAACAGAAAGAGAGATAGAAAAACTGAAGCTGTGCTATAAAGTATATCTGACTTCAATTTTCATGTATTTCTAATATAGGCCTAACTGAAGAAGAGGATCTTGCCATGTCCAGTGGTACACACACACACACACACACACACACACAAAATATAAATTTGTAAACCAAATACACTCTAATAGGTGGTTTTCTATGATTGTAGATGTCAACAGGGAGGCCGTATTCCGGGCAACAAAGGTTCGAACCCATTTGAAACAAGATGGAAGCTGGATCAACAGATCTCAAAATGTTGAGGACACACAGTTAGATGTAAAAGCACGGTAAATGCAGGTTTTCACTGTCATCTGCTGGCTGAGAGCGGTAGTATCAACCAGCCAAAGTCTTTGATCATGTTTGCTTGAACTCTCAAATTATTTCACGTTTTACTCTCTAACAGTAAACCAGTAAAGCTAGGAAAACCTAAAAATGTGTCCTCACCTGAGAGCAGTTCGGTCTCTTCCTCCATCATGCCATGTGAAGAGAGTACCGCCACCACCTCCTCCAGCCTGGGCTCGTCCACACCCCCTCAAAGCTCTTCTGTCATGTCAGCCTTAAGGAAGTTTGAGTGAGAGATTTTCTTATTTTCCTTGTGTGTGATTCCTGTATTCAGTGTTTCTGCATTCAATCAGGGGCCTAAGGGAGAGCCGTCTGCTCTCCCTTAGGCCCCTGAACCCAACAGAAAACACACCAGTCAAGAGTGGGTCCAAGCTGGCCAAAAGGTTTGGTACATCTTTCTTTACTGGATAGAGCCTTTTATCCTTTAATTTCCTCAAATGCAAGTCAGAATAGCTGAAGCAGAAATCCTTAATTTCTAACAATACTGAACTGCAATATCAACATTTAATATTTCATTAAGGTCAATCAGATGCTTCATAATTATTCTGAACGTGTTCCAGTGCACATCCTGTCCTAGAGGACTCCAGGAGAGCACATGTAGAGAAAGCAGTGGAGCCATCCATAGTCAAAGCCACAGAGCAACCACTGAAGACACCAGCAGATGCTTCTGTAAAGGACATAGTGGAAAAACCAATCGCCATACCTGCAGAGGAACCATTGAAGACACATGCAGATGTTTCTGTAAAGGACATAATGGAGAAACCTATAGCTAAACCTGTAGCGGAACCGATGAAGATGCATGCAGACGCTCCTAAATTGGATGTAGTGGAGGAACCTATAGTTAAACCTATAGAGGAACCATTGAAGATGAATGCAGACACTCCTAAAACGGATGTAGTGGAGAAACCTATAGTTAAACCTATAGAGGAACCATTGAAGACGCATGCAGACGCTCCTAAATTGGATGTAGTGGAGAAACCTATAGTTAAACCTATAGAGGAACCATTGAAGATGCATGCAGACGCTCCTAAATTGGATGTAGTGGAGAAAACTATAGTTAAACCTGTAGAGGTGCCATTGAAGACACATGCAGACATTCCTAAAACGGATGTAGTGGAGAAACCTATAGTTAAACCTATAGAGGAACCATTGAAGACGCATACTTACACTCCTAAATTGAATGTAGTGGAGAAAACTATAGTTAAACCTGTAGAGGTGCCATTGAAGACACATGCAGACATTCCTAAAACGGATGTAGTGGAGAAACCTATAGAGGAACCATTGAAGACACATGCAGATGTTTCTGTAAAGGACATAATGGAGAAACCTATAGCTAAACCTGTAGAGGAAACGATGAAGACGCATGCAGACGCTCCTAAATTGGATGTAGTGGAGAAACCTATAGTTAAACCTATAGAGCAACCATTGAAGACGCATGCAGACGCTCCTAAATTGGATGTAGTGGAGAAAACTATAATTAAACCTGTAGAGGAACCATTGAAGACACATGCAGACATTCCTAAAACGGACGTAGTGGAGAAACCTGTTGAAGAACCACTGAAGACGCATGCTTACACTCCTAAAATGTATGTAGTGGACAATATAGTTAAACCTGTAGAGGAACCACTGAAGACACCTATAGATGTTCCTGTAAAGAACATATTGGAGAAACCTGCAGAGGAATCACTGAAGACACACACAGAGACTCCTGTAGAGGGAACAAGGAAGACACCTGTAGATGGAGCTTCAACAGATCAAACACTATTCAGTGGAGTGCTGCAGGAGAAAGCAGTCAAAACCCTACATGAGAACCCAGCAAAGCCTTCAGGTACACTGACTACAGAGAATCAAGAAGATGATACAGTTGAACAAGTCTCAATAGCACATGCACCTTTAGTTGAGGCTCCACTCGAACCCAGACAAGCAGAACACCAGCCTACAAGTGAACATGGGGAACATGGGGAACTTTCACTAGTATCTGCTCTGGAAACTCCAACTACAGAGTCATCAACTAGATCAACTACAGAACTGATCGAAGAACCCCGTGTGGCAGCCCTGGAAGAGAACCACAGACTGAACAGTCAAGCTGAATTGAAGTAAGTCGCTTATAAGACACATTTATTTAGATATGATGTCTGTGGACTTCTTTGAGTATGCGTTTTTGCTTTAATTTCTATAACAATAACATTAAAATATGTAATTAAAGGACCCACAAAATATTAACACAGTAAGTATATAGTTTATTAGCTAAATTCAGTTATGCAAACACAGAAACATCAACACTGTAAAATTAAGTGTGACCTGTCTGTTTTACTGAATACCTTCATTTATTTTTACAGTAAAGTTTACAGGTATTAGTATTTAACACAGTTCCATTCTTAATAAGTCATGTTTGTATCTGTCTCTCTTTGTAGTGTCAAAGGTAAAACCATGTGTTCCTTCTGCAAGCTGCCCATAGATGGAAATGTGAAAATCTCCATTAACATTCCTGCCATTTGCTGCCATCCGGATTGTTTCAAGGTTTACTTTTTAAATCTTTTCTTCCTCTGCACTCAGGCTCAGAAGTCAGTGTCTCACCCTTCCACCAAATTGTTTTCATCTGAGTTTTGTCACATATTTCCACTTGGTTTCAAGGTTTTTGGTGATCTGATCACAGGTGGTCAGTGCTCAATACAGATGGTAACAAGGTCAAAAGCATTTTGTGATGGGATCACTGAAACCTACAGAAGCCCAAGACATTTGTTATTATTATTTTTTGTTTTCTCGTGCTTGCAGCTCAAAGGGATATTCCGTTTACTCGCCCTCAAGTGGTTCCAAACCTGCATGAGTTTTTTTCTGCTGAGCACAAAAGAAGATACTTGGCATGTTGGCAACCAAACAGTTGATGGCAGCCCACTGTTTCCATAGTATGGAAAAAATATTATGGAAGTCAATGGCTATCATCAACTGTTTGGATACCAACATTCTTCAAAATATCATCATACTCAAAAATCAATTGAATAACAAGCAGTACTAGACAAATGCTGTTGTTTTTCATTTCTGTTTGTTCTCAGCAAAATGTTTTTTTTTCATTAGTTTAGTTTTTTGTTCAGAGAGCTTCTTTTCAAAAAACTATCTGTTAGAATAAAAAAATAAATGTTTTGGAATGAATCTACACATGCTAATATGCTTTAATTATAATAATAAAATAAAATCAGTCACAGCTGTTCTTTTTTTCAGAGACAGGGTCTGTTGTAACCTAAACATTTTACTTGTGTATTTAACCTTTTCAATGGTCTAAAAGAAAACCTCAAGAGACGCATGTTAATAGCAGGTGGAAAAAAATGCCTATGCTTGGAAGCAAGGCCCAAAATTAACTTTTCGACCACATCTGCCAATGCCAGTGAATTGACTTTATGTTTTACAGCCTTGGAACTTTTTCTTTATTTTCTGTGAGACTTAAGATGTGCCGCAGCGTGATGAGTAAAGCTGTGTCTGTGTATGTGTGTGTTTTAGTGTAATGGTTGCAGCAGTCCTCTGGATGATCTCTCTTCATCTATGTACCACTATGCTGGGAAAATCCTCTGCGAGAAATGCTTTGATCAAATCTTCCAGCTCTGATGACTCATCCTACTGCAACCTACTCCACAACAACTTATCACCATGACACCCAAGCACATCTCAGTGTCTACCAGCAAGTTTGCTGTAATTCAGCACTAATAAAAAAATAATAATAAAATCAGTCTTTATCAGTAGAGGAACTGCTGTCGTAGGCTTATTGCACATACATTCATCACCATTTTTCAGCAAATGGTCGTGCTGCGTGTGCATGTCTTCCTATATACTGACAAAATTCCCCATGGGGTTTAATAAAGTATTTCTCTCTTTCTGATCAATATATTCCTTGTCTTCTTCTAACAATTCACAGTTTCAAATGTATTTTTTTTTAAATATCCTATCAGCTTAAAGGAGAAGTTCGCTTCCAGAATGAAAATTTCCTGATAATTTACTTACCCCTATGTCATCCAAGATGTTCACGTCTTTCTTTCTTCAGTCGAAAAGAAATTAAGGTTTTTGAGGAAAACATTCTAGGATTTTTCTCCATATAGGCTAGTGGACTTCAATGGGGGTCAACCATAGACTGTATAAAAACATGGACCTAGTGTCCGTGACGTCACCCGTAGGTTTCTGAAGAGCGTTTTTGAAGCTCAAAGTTCAAGGAGCCGGCCGTCGCCATCTTGGCAGCGCGTCACTCCCAGATAATCCAGAATGGGCAAAGAGGCGGGAGCTCGTTGCTGAAGCCACGTCCACCTAGCTCGACGGTGGTTACAGCAGCGGCAATCCACCTGTCACTCAAGTGGCCACGCCCTTAATTATGCAGAAATTTAAGGCTTATTATAATTTAAACGGATGAGTTAAAAATAAAATTCACCCCCCTCACAGTTGTCATGAAGGGCAAAATTAGCTATATAGACCAAAACCACTATTTGTACCAGGCTGTAAAAATATTTTTTTCTGCTGTAAAGTTCAGTAGCCCCTCACTGCAGAACAAAGATCCAGGGGGCGGGGTTGGATCCACATCTAGGGGGTGGAGATGGGTGGATTTAGGGATCAGGGGGTGGAGACGGGTAGGTTTAGGGGTGGAGATGGGTGGGTTTAGGGATCAGGGGGTGGAGACGGGTAGGTTTAGGTATATGTAAGGTGGGAGGAGTTGGATCTGGATCCAACCAACCACGCCCCCTGGATCTTGTGTTCTGCAGTGAGGACCATCTCGTAAAGTTGGGGAGTCTATGGGAATGACTCCCTTTTGGAGCCAGCCTCTAGCGGCAAGTCGATGAATTGCAGTTTTAATCACTTCCGTGGTGGTTTCACGAGAGAGACCGGAAGGTTGTCGCTTGGGCTCAACGCGTTGAAGGTCCAAATAGCATTTTCAGTGCAGCTTCAAGGTGCTCTACACAATCCAAACCGAAGAATGTCTTATCTAGTGAAATGATCAGTCAAGAAAAATACAAATTTACATACTTTTTATCCACAAATGCTCGTCTTGCACTAGCTCGACCTCACGCATTACATAATTACGTTATTATGTGATGTAGGCGGAAGTAGCGACCCAGTGTTTACAAAGCGAACGTGCAAAGAAAGTATTTTCAACTTTACAAAAAAAGGTTAAACAAATAGAAAATGAGGTGGAGTTTACCCTACCTTTTTAACCAACGAGACAGACAAAGAACTAACCGTTTATGACTTTTCCAACATGATTACACAATGCATGAAGTCATGGATGCACATAACAGAGCTAGTGCAAAACGAGCATTTGTGGTTTAAAAGTATGTAAAAAGAAAATTATTTTTTCACTAGATAAGACCCTTGTTCCTTGGCTGGGACCTTTGAATCTGCATTGAAACTGCAGTTTGGATCTTCAGTCCGTTGGCCACCACTGAAGTCCATCATATGGAGAAAATTCCTTGAATGTTTTCCTAAAAAAAATTTAATTCAGTGCTCCTGGAAATTTTCATTATCTGGTTTAAATGTCTGTAGCTGTGACAACAAATTGACAACACTGATCATCCGCTTTCATTAAAGGAAATTAAAGTTTATTCAACACACAGTTTATGTAAATTCACTTTAGTCTGAATTCTGTATGTTTTATTAATCACTTACAGTTATCAATTTTACTGTAGAAATAATTTTTAGTTTTCTGAAGCCAGTAAGTGAACAATAAAAAAAACATTAGTTCCTTGGATCGAGCACCATCATTGATCAGGTTTAGCATATTGCCACAGTTAGTCAAAATATACAACAAATACACCCAGAAACATAAAATCACACAGGTGGTGACACTAAGAATGTCTGTAAATATTGCATTCAAAATGACACAAAGAAAGCTGTTCACTACAGCGCTGTCACACAGAATAAAACACCCACATCTGACTGAGGAAACAACACACTCAAACTCTCTTAAAAAGATGGAATGTGTGAGAGAGAGATGAGAGAGGCTAAAATCCTGGCAAACCGCAAGGCATTAATAAGACCATGAAGCACAATGAATACAATCATTAAAATGAATAAATGGCCATGAGAGTATATAATAATGTGTGCAGCAAAGACAGAGAGAGAGGAGACAAATGAAGAAACACAGAAGTTAGATTCCACTCCTCCAGAGATCCACTGTACAGTAGTTTGTGGTTTTACGTGTAGTGCTTCAATGAATTGTTGTATTTTCATTGGTAAATCTACCTTAGTGTAGTTTGTACTAATTTGTCTCATGAAACCAGTGGTTTGTGTGTGTGTGTGTGTTTGTGCTCTGTATGATAGAACTCTGCAGGGGCTTCATGGAGCTCTTTTGCGTTTCCTCACCGGCCACACTGATGACACCACTGAAATGGCTGCCACAGGCGACTGGAAAGCGGGCCTAGCAACACCGAACCTAGCAACGGATTCCCTTCCTTCCGAGAAACCTTAGAACAGCGTAGTTGTAGGTGGTGGCAACCACGTAAACGAACTAGGAAAAAAGAAGGAAGAAACAACACGTGTCTGATGTATTCCTCTGCAAAAGGATTTTTATATAGGAGAAATTTGAGCTCTTGTGGCATGAGTGTTTATATCCTTTTGAGACTTTATTATAAGCATCAGGCAAGGAATGCAATTCCAGCAATAGCACATCATTATTTATTTACAGTCTTGTCCAAAGCAGCGTATAGCCCTTATATTTTAGAGGAACAGTACCCCTGGAGCAACAGGGGCTTTAGTTCCTTATATAGTAAAGCATAGTATTGCATAACTAAAAAAAAAATACTTAAAAAAAGTTGTGTAATTTGTTAATGCAGCAATATGCATAGCTATTGAATCTCTTTTATCATTAAATGATCACAAGCACATTTAAAAAGAAAATCACAGAAAGAAATGTGATTAATTATACTGTTACACATAATATACTTTTCAGAATTAAGACCAAAAAAGTGAAGTTCAGTGAGTGTAAATCTCTAGCAGCATTTGTTTTCAGATGGCACATATCTAATGCAATGTAACTGAGACTATTAAGTGTAGCTTATGTGTCCAGATAATTTTCCAAATAATTCTGCTTAATTACGGAATTAAATGTTTACATCAGTCTCATTGTGCTCCTCAACACGACAGAGAAGCTCTGGTTGCTCATAGTGATTGTCTTTAGATAAAGCCTGAGAAATGAGTGCTGCCAAATATACAGGAAAAGGGAGTAGAGACGCTGGAGATCTGTTATTAGCAGAGAGGTCAGTTACTAACTGTAAACTAAACATTCCCCTGCTGTTCTTCCGTTATTAACTTCATGCTCTGCACTCTGACGTAAAGAATTTCGTGCAAATAAAATCACAATGAATTTGAATTCAATGGCAGTGGAAGTTTGTCAATAGGCGTAGAAAATATAAATGAATATGTAAATATAATAAGCAATAAATGTACATGTACATGTACATTCTAAGTGATCATCAAGATGCATCAATCACTGTCAACTGTAATTTTTAAAATCATTAAAACCATTAAAATAATAAAGATTGCTGAGGTGAACTTGCTGCTTTCCAGAATACAAAATAATAAGCCTCTTGAAGAAGGCCACTATAACCTTGCACAGCATCTTCTACAGTAAATATAAATTACTTCACAGATGTAAAACATTAGACCACTAACCAGAGCAAGAAGGGTGATTCCGGCTCCAGCAAATGCACAGATGTAAAGGTCATAGGTCACATAGAACTGGAAACATAAAAAGGGGTATCAGAGACATGATCTCTTGAAACTCTGAGCATGTGCGTGTGTCTAGGATAATAAACGTCTAACCTCTGGAGTTTTGCAGATGCTTGCCAGTGTATTTCCACAAACAATCCCCGGCACAGCATTCCAGGGAAGAAACCCTATATAAAACAACACAGACATCATGATTGTGAGCACACACAAGCATGCGTATGATGAAGGGTGCAGACCTACCATACATCCGTGCATCCATGCAGACCCTTGCTTGCTGGTTGAACAAGGTGGTTTCTGACAGGATGTTGACTTTGTGACAGGAGCTTTCCATATTAATGAAGAAGAGCACAGGAATGGCTGTGAAGCCAAAGACAACCAGCCAGATCACGGCGAGCACGTACGTCAGGATTATGAACTGGACAAGAGAAACAGCTAATTAGATCAGTGCAACACAACAGGCATGGACACTGCAAACTATATAAGAAAGTACAGTAAGTAAAACTTGATTTATATATAGCAGCACCTTAACAATGCTTTTACTGCTTTACACAAGTAATATACATATATGGTCATAAATGTTCACATACATATATAGATATAAAAGAAGATACAAAATGAAAAAATAAAACTGACTTTATGAAATAGCTGACTAAATCAACTGCTCACAGGTTATCAGGATACAAGCAAGCAAGATGCTGTCGGATGACCTGAGTGATCTAGCTGGAGTATATATCAGAATTCCCACACTTTCTGAACTTTTCCAGTTATTTATGATGATGGAATAAGTAGTTTCAAAATCATTTTATAGAGATCACATTTACAGAGAGTAATTTCACACAGCATAAATACTTTAGAACTGAGTATAACTGAAAAAGCATATTGTCTATTGAATTTCCCATAGCTTCTCCATGACTTTTATGACATGAGGTTTTAATATTTTTAATAATTATTATCAATTAATGTTATATTATAAAATTAATATTATAATATTGGCTATTTTAATACAAATTATTTTAAAAAGTATTTTACTGTTGCTTTTTTCAGGCCACAAAATCACATTTTTGACATTTTCAACTTTTCCATATTGTATTATTTCATTATCAAGAAAGATGCGAAAGGACCAGCGACCACAAAATTCAGAATCTCTCTCTCTCTCTCTCTCTTCCAACATGATTACACAATGCATGAAGTCATGGATGCACATAACAGA